TATTCAATGCTATTTCCACAAAAAGCTTCCGAGGAAGAAAGCACGAACGATGAAATACGCCAAGCACGCCGAGACAAAGGAAGACACAAAGAAGTTCACCGCGTCGAGCAGTACAACGAAGTTGGACGCAGCAGACTGGAGTGACAACGCAGAATTGCGAAATCTTTGCAAGTATCATAAACAACCCGATCGACTTCGTTATGAAGTGGGACTGGCTGTTTTTAGCCCCCTCGAATCTACAATTCTTCGCCTATGTTAAAGGACAAGGCAGCTCGAATCTGTTTATGCCGTTATTGCTCAGAACCAACGGCACGGCTGCTCAGGTATACCATGAGAAGCCTTACCTACTCCTCCAGGTAACACCAAGTCAGGTTCCATAGACGAAATAGGCTCCCCATTACGAGCGTCCTGTTTCTTGTACCGGCAAGCAAACCAGGGACTCCGGTACTTCGACCTTTATATCGCTTCCGTTGCTTCTGCAAAAGAAGGGATGCGCTAATAAGAGCAAGCTCTGTACTTTATTGGCCCATAGACTGCATGATCTGACAATTGTCAAACTTAAAAGCTCCAACCAACACTTATCTAACCCATTTTGGAAGGGTTCTTCAGTGGTACTTCCAATCAAGGTAGAAGGAAGTTTGTTCCAACTATGAACTACACGATTCGCAAAGTATTTTACCCTAATTTATAGCCTGGACCTCTGCTGATTAAGTTTACTTCCCTGCTTCCGGAGATGGTCGGAAGCAACTGGTTTAAACAGGCCAGAAGCCCTGATGCCACTGAGGCTCCTCATAATTTTGAACACTTCTATCGGGTCACCACTCAATCGGAGCTGTTAAAGTTGGACGGCTCAGATGACTTGTATAGATTTGATTAGTTTTCCGGGTTCCTTTAGTGCGTCAGGATTGCGAACTGCGGAGGATTTCATTTTTCTGTGCTTATTCCGTGGCTATGAAAGCGCTTCTAGGAGTTTCCGTGACTTCCTTCGCACTCACTCTGCGAACAGATGCTTGCTAATGGGGAAATTCAATGTCCCTGAAGTAAATTGGCATGACCGAACTTAGGAGGCAGCGACAAGAGTGTTGGCTGTTGAACGTGGCGACTTGGCACTATAAGTACCGTTACACGAATTTGTCGAGCTACCCACCAGGTACATGGAGAGTCATGCTCCTTCTCTCCTGGAACTGGTTTTTGCAATGCCGGTTGAGTTTGTGGATGATCTTTAGTATGGCCCCCTATGGAGCCAGTAACCATGTGTGTTTGTCATTCGATTGTGCTCTCATTAGAGACTAGGATTCACGCAGGGTCCTACCTCAGAACATTTGGCATGCCGATTTTCACTATTAGACCGAAGGCAGTAAGTTCCCCACGCATCAACTTGCCCACGTTGATATACAGACGGCTTGAGATAGCTTAAGTCTTTCCTCTCAAATATATCCCACCAGCCCACCCCATTTCGGTAAGGAAGTTTGCCAAAGCAAAGTCACCATGGTTGAACTTAGTCGCACACCAGTTATTGAATAGACGGGTGAGATGCTGGCGGGTCTACCGGACAGTTCTCTAGGTATGTACATCTCGGCGTTATCGTGAAGCGCGAACTGCTCTCAAGAGTGATTTATGAGTTACTTAACTTAGCTGTGAGATGGAGCAGGCTAACTCACCTCCGCAAATCCCAAACCATGTTTCGTCTAGGTCGAAAAGCGTAGTAACGTTGGCTCATCCATCCCAGTGTTATAGGACAGCTGCGGCGCCACTGCCAAAACTAGTCACGAAATAGCCCGTCTACGCTGTGCGCAGTAAGCCGGGAATTGGTTCGGGATAAACAGTTTCCGCATATTCACATAGCGATGTCTCAAGTTCGGCGGCACAAGTTCTCCATCTATTTCATATGCTAAATCCGCCGGGTTGGATGGCATGCACCAAAATGTACTGTACGAACTCGAAAGCGAGCTTGTAACCCAGTGGCAGGTTTGTTCCATTTATCGTTTCACACCTGCTCCTTTACCAATAACTGAAATGGTTACTACTGTCTACGCGATTTTTAACAATGGCGACAAGCATCTCCCTGCCACTTATAGACCGGTACGTTTGACAAGCGCATTGGTCAAGTTATTAGAAGTCTTGGCTAGGGATGTACTTGAAACCACCTGCGGGAGTTTGGTCTGCTCGGTCCACCTCAACCTGGCTTTCGCAAGTGTCACTCCTGTATGACTAATTTGTTAGTTGCACATGAATGTTGGGCAGATGCTTTGGATCGGTGTCATGCAGTAGATGCACTATTTGCTGACTTCTCCAAGACGTTCGATACTGTACCACACTCTCACCTCTCCTTGAAGCTTCCGTCCTATGGAATATAAGGGCGTGCATTACAATGAATAACCAGGTTTCTGGAAGGGAATGAGATGCGTGTTCGTGTTGGGTCTAGTCTGTCTTTCCATCAGTCAGTCGTCAGTGGAGTCCCTCAGGGTTCGGTGCTTGGCCCATTGATATTTTCCCTGTATGTCAATGAGCTGCCCGAACTGCAAAGAGTATCAACTCTCATGTTTGCAGCTGACCTAAAGTTTTGGCACACAGTATCCGAACTCGATGGACCCCAGCCTCTGCAACGCACCCTCCCTAAACTTTCGGACTGGACTGCTCTTTGGCAGTTGCCCATAAGTAATGCAGTGTTTTATTTTACGATTAAAGCCAGATGGCCCACAAACACGTTACCTGCTTGGCGGGAACGTACTACAGCATGTTTCCTAAATGGCCGACCTAGGGGCACGATGTTTTGAGAACATGAATCCAGTGAGAACTGAGAGAAAGCTACATGCAAGGGTTTCTGCATGTTGTGTATGATCCGCAGGGCATTCGGGACCACAACGGGCGGTACTTTTGTTAGATTGTTCTCAGCCTTTGTCTAGCCACACTTGGAAGACTGCATCGGCTTGTCCACCTTGGTTAGTAAGGGACTGGATGTCAGCAGAGAGTGTTGAGGATTGGAGGCACAATGCTTCATGGATTACGGAAACTTTCTTACCCAGAAAGACTACTTAAAATGGGAATGTGCTCAATGAATTATCATCCCTATCGAGACGATCGGATCTTGACCCATCGCACACTTACTGGTAAACTCGGACCGGCTGTATCTGGGTTGGTCCAAACGGCTCGGATTCCATCTATCTTAGGTCACTCGATGAAGCTACACAAACCTCGATGGGATGGAGTCCGGACGGACTCCTTTATCACGCCGAGTGGTGACGTCTCGCAATACACTCTCCGGGACCGTGGTATTGGCACCCACGGAGAAAGACTGCGAACACCGACTTGACGATCTTGGCCATCAACTCTTAAATTTCCCCTACACATCTGGGCTTATTCGCGTTATTGAATTATTAAAGATATTACTTTTAGGTCCTAATGATCTTTTTACTTTCATACTTCTATTTCTTATTTCACGCGACCGGTACGGTAGGAATTGCCATTGCGACAGGCACTGGATTCGGTACTTTATCCGAGGAAGTATTATTGTATCCTGTACGGAACCTAGTAACTATCATGATGTTTCTTTCCCGCCTACTACTTTTCATCGTTAATTGCAGCACCTCGGTGTTTCACACCGGTAATTTGCCGTCATGCAATGGTAAACAGGGGTGGCCCAACTAAGGTGAAAACATTAATGAAAGGGTGAATCCAACTGCTCTAAGTTGACATTCAAGTTCATAGCTGTTGCACTGTGCCATCGATGTATGATTTTATACACCTGGCTATCGTGTAGAGGTAAGACTGTGTAGACAAGCGACTTCCAAGTGGATTTCTCTGTTCGCCTTCACAATCGTTCGAACACCACTCATGATAGCACCATGCAGTTAAAACGGACAGTTCAACAATGAAACGAGAGCAGTGTTGCCACTGGTGCCGGTTACAGGCCACTTCTTCCAGCCTGGAGTCAATCACATAGCGGGCTGTTTTCACTCCAATCTGGAACGCAACGCGGTTAACGACGTGCTTTTCTTTGGTCGGATCAGTGACTATCGTGCTCGATTTTTGCATCCCCCTGAATAAGAAACCTCGCTCCTATCGTTTGTCAATGAGTATGATCCTACACAACTTATTCGGTACTGTGTTTTGATCTAGCAAGTTTTTTTGGTCACGAAGGCCTTTCAATATAACTGTTTTCCTTTTCTGTCTTCTCACTAACTACTCACTTTTCTCAGGTTCACGAGTAACTATCTACAAACACCTCCATAATTGATATCAACTTCACACCCAACCCACACTCCCAACATAAGCATACCTCCGTCCCTAATTGATGCAGTTTCAATCGCTATGTAATACGGATCATGGTAATAACATACTGCAGCTGTACGCTATCAGGCGCGTCCCCAAGTTGCGGATGGGGGAATGCCTTCCTTGTGGAGGTAGCTGCGAATAAGTATCGTTTGCTTTGCAGGCGAGATGAATAAATAGTCGCGCACAATCAGCGGCAGCGTCTCAGAGCGTGGGGAGTTCTGGCCTGGTCTCCTGGTTCTCCATCAAATACCACAAAAGTTTGTACGGCGCTGTGTCAAAACCAATATGACCGGCTATAGGGTCACTGACCACTCACTTCTGTAACTGGAGGTGAATATTTACTGGAGGGCGGATGAACAATCTTGCTGGCCACCGACTTCTGTGAACTGCAACCAAACACTAAGGAGGCGAATGAGCCACCTGGCTGTCAACGGTCTTCGTATTTGCCACGTGCCTTGGGGGTCAGGCCTTTAAGACCAAATGCTCGGGGTGGGGTCGCTTAAGACAAACGTCTTTCTCGCCCTGGGCAACCGGGAAGCTCTCTGCCTCCGCATCCCTTCCTCTGACTCTTCCCCCTTTTTTGTTGTTATTCATGTGTTATGGCACTCTGGCAAATGTTTATTGGTTTACACTGGTTTGCATTGGTATATATATATATATATATATATATATATATATATATATATATATATATATATATAAATTATTCTTACATATTCCGTCAGGAGGCAGAACACATTTGTCAAGTGTCGTCCGTCATCTACTTAGAGTTAATGAACGGACTACCACAGCCATTTGGAGGCGAGATTTGGTAACTTTGGTCTTTCTGAACTGTGGTCTGTAGGCTCATATTATTACGCAACTCTGGCAGTTATCTCTTACTGGATTTTACTCTCCCTCTGGATTGGCAGTTGTCCCCGTCATGACTACACAAATCAAGGGTGAGTTTGATCGTCGCATAAGCCAACCTTTCGAGCCGAATCATGTTTTGCCATGTTGGTTGGTTTCTAGTGCTTTTTGCCACTCTGCATTCTAAAAGTCCCAAATGCTTCAGTCGGTGTCGGCTCGTCAACAAGAATGAAACTTACGACTAATTGTTTTCATTACCGGAGCTGATGCAGGTCGATGCGGCCGCTATATTTCTCTGCTTGATACAGTAGGCTATACTTACGTTGTTTGCAACATCACGGTTTAAAATGGGTTGCTTTTCTCCGAATGTGCCCTGTAGTTGCAACTTTTTTTTCATCTTTTTTTCTTATCCAACTTTCCACAGTTAAAATATTGAAACCAACGTTATTTTACATTTATACTCTCTGTTGTAGTGTTCTCATCTACACAGCCCTTTCACGTCGACCTGCCCCGACCAAATCAACTCGGTTGTACTGGATCATGGGAAGCCGCAACGATGAACTCGCCTAGTACTAACTCTCGTGAGCAGCGTGAGAGTGTTATTCACTCAAAACATAAGCGTCATGAGGATGAATTCATTTATCATCAAACAGAAGCTCACAAACTGGGCAATCAGCTGAAAAGAGAGCGTTTATCACAAAGGGAAGAAAAAGCACGCTTACTGGCTGAGATCAAAGGGGATAAAGAGGCGAGACGGTAATTTCTCTTCATTTATTTTCTATCACTTGTTATTTGAAGGATTGTTGTTTTATTATCATCCAGTCAGCTATCTGAGTCCATTCTCCGAGGGTTTTGTAACATTACATCTTTAAGCTGGTCCCATTGTAAAACACAGGTAGGTCACTTTGTCTTGTTTGGCATCGCAATCACTAATTGTATGTGTCCCATTTTACCTCGTCGGACAACTGTGCTTCATGTTTGTATCTGTGTCGAAGGACTAACCATTTTGTCAAATAGAAGTTCTTTAGCGCACTTTATGTGCTGGTGTCTTTGTTAGACTGTGTTCTACCCGTGATTACTTCGTCACGTTTATATCGATCACGGGTGTCCCACTTGCCTTATGCTCGTCTTACTTCATTAATCACTCCTTCTGAATCGTTCAGTCCACTTACAACGGTGGGCCATGTTGTTTTTTGCTTTTCCCCTGCGTACCCCATCCCGTTGTTTCAACGCATTGATTTCCAAAGTGTACCTCGCACTGTCGCTCTCAACAGTACCCCGCATATCCACGTCCGTGCTCGTCACTCACTAATCATTGGTGTGAACTAGAGAATATAAAGAAAACACATCTTTTCTCGGTATCTATTGTAGCCAAGACACCGCTGTTTATTGGTTAGGATGCATGTAGAGAATGAACTAGTTGCACACGGTGTTCCTTCACTCACACGACACCACCACCAAGCTACTGTATCTAATGTGCTTATGAACGAGTGTTGCACTGCTGAAACAAAAGTTCATAACGCGTTTATGTGCAACGGCTGATCAAATTGTTATTGCTATTTTGCACCCTTTTTATCAGCCACATTTTGTTAATGGTGTGTTACCTTGTTCGGGAGTCATTTCGAAGCACGCGTTGTGTGAGAGTGGATTATGACATGCAGTCTCTGCCGGTATCGCGATTAACTGTAGTGCATCTCGATCATTTCAGTCGCTGGGACTGACTATTTCCTTGTTTTCATCACCAGATATTACGCACACTGGCCTGCTCTAGTTTGAATCCGTGTAATCGGTTGTCGTCGATTAATAGGTTAGCTTGTGCAACCTGTAAATTGTCTGTATATAATCGTCGTTGTCCACGATGCCTCATTAGGATCCGGTAGCATCATTGGCAAGTAACTTAGGGTAGATCTGCCATCAGCCCGCTGAAATGTCTGACAACTTTTCACTATTTGCGATGTTTAGCCCATTTCATGTACGGTCAACATACCTCATTTCGTCTTGTTTGCTTGGAACCTCTCTCATTAGGCCAACTTTCATGAAAACAGGCACTAATGTGATTCAAAAGCTGACCTACTGCCTGAGACACTTTGACATTTCCGCTATCAGAATCCGCGAGGTAGACCCCACTGGTACCTAAGAGCTCTAGCTGGCACCATAGTTAGGTCGGTGATGCTCCCACTTTCAGTCGCCTATATCTGACTGGCATACTTCTACTGGTTCGTCTCTACCTTCTATTCCTTCGATCCCCTGTTATTTTTATTCAAACAAATTCGGATCACTTACTTTGAGGCAGAGCGTACACAATCATAGCATATATTCCTCTGACCACGCAAGTTATGGGACTTCGATTCATTGCACGTCGTGTCCAAGGTTATAATTTACAGATGTTTTACCCAACTTCGATAAATCACAGGTTTCTAGCTTTCCCATTCCGTTTGCTAATCTGTCTACGGTGCAACGCAGTTTACTATCTAACTTCTGTAGCATTCAACTGCCTTGAATTCCATTTTAGATTACGCCAGTTTACGCCTAGTTCCCCGGATCCACACGGTGCATCAGCTGATCTCGTCCAAACGCAACCTGGTCACTTGGATCCTCCTCGTATTGGTCAAATTCGAATCAAAGTTAGTCGCCCCCGTTTACTTAGCGTTGGCTTTTGAACATTATAATTTCTTTGAATTAGTATCACGTGGTCCGACAATTCGGATTTGGTTGGCCATATGGGCATTACCCTGCACCCCTACTTCGGTTTGCACATCCGCACCAGACGCGCGTGTAACGTTTACTGCTGTCTTCTGTACCTTCGTTCGCACCGTAATATCTGTAGGCTCTGCATGTAGTCTCCAATTGCTCATCCCACAGCACTTACATTGCGACTGTACTTGCTCACCGCGTGACTGGTCTACCGGATACAACCGCGAAGGCTTTTTTGAGTGACTGTGAACGGTTATATCATGATCATGGGTAGATTTCGTTGGTAGAAATAGGGACATTACCATTCGCTTACTTCCGTTCTCCACTTTCTCTCATTGGTGGATGTGGCCATTCCTCTTACCTTTTTCGATGTTCGGGGAAACTTGTATTCCTTTGGCTCTGTATGACTTATTACTTTGTGACTTCCTAACTTTGTCAGTGCGCTTGGAAATATATGGTAGAGAAATCAGTGATTTCGCGTCAAGGTGTCACTTTTCATGGGTTGTGTTTAGATCCTTACCTATCACAGTCTCACGACAGCAGCCAGGCATGGACAACCTTGTAGTATCAGAAGATTTATACATTAATTTCTTAGTTGTTAGCTCTATACACCATTTGCGATACGAAGAACTGGGGGCTACGTACTCTTTCTTTCTCCCAATTTCGGGTTTATCGAACAGCGGCGGGACAACGTGAAACTGGCCTTGCCTTCTTGTGTCTTAGGATATCATCTGGACAGTGCGAATAACCATCTTCTTAATGAAGTATTAGGCTAGTAGCACCAAACCACTAAGTTAAGGCACTCAGGACAAGTCGATACGTCACCACCTGCATCGTGAACCAAGCTTTAGCCACCATGTTGCCATCAGCTTTCGCTTTGTTGCTATTTCTCGTCCCACTTACCCCACTCGTCTGTAAGATGCCAACTTGCATTACCCAGCCACCACACACAGCAACGAGTCGCGGTCACGCCGGCCATTCTATTTTTTGTTAACTATCGCGTATATTCTTGCACGAAGATCGCTACCTCCTACCAACCTTTATATACTAAGCAACCACAACGGTTGAAATCGGGCTTGAGTACCGCGAGGTCGCCTGAATATATAGTCACAAATAATCTCTCTACACGTTAGCAATAGCTGAGAGACATTACAGCTATTGTACCGCAACACAATACAACTATATGGTGTTGAAACCAAATACCAAAGAAAAAAGAGCAACGGAAACGCAATTGAGCAAGTATGACATTTTGCTTCGTTTTACCTCACACATGGACAATGATTTTGTGCCAGCTTTGGATTTGTCTTCCACAAGCTTCTGCTACGAAACTGTGCTGTTACTCTTGCATTTATGATGCTACCTTGGGTTTTGCTGAAACGTTTACAATCAAATTGCCCAGCTTAGAGAACACCACAACAACTGCACGATATCGTAGGTGCTGAGGGAGGCAGTACGCCGATACACCGTACCAACGCATCGCTGTCACGCAACCACCGCCAGTTGCACGTGGGCTAAGAATATTTCGAGGGTTGCCCGGTCCCATACGCAGATTCGAACCCGCGACCTCCGGGTTACAAGGCAAACGTGTGATCCTTTCGGCAACTGGCTGGCTCTCCTGTTCCTTTTCTTCGGAGGGCCTAATAGGGATAAGGAGTTATAACGCCACTTAAATAAATAAATACATGGTATGTTCCTCGGCGGTGCGAGGCACAGTTCAATAATGTGGTCAGATCAACCTGTTCAGCATGATCACACAAAATAAGTAATTGTTCATGCTTTATACAATGAATCCAAAACGGACTTTAAAGTAATTGGTAGGTTTAAGGTATTAGACAAATTGCAAGCTGGGGAACAATAACAAATATACATTTGTACATATGTCCAGGTAAAGTAATACGGCCACTCATGGAAGCGTCCGCAGGGGACCTGTTTCCATGTAGGGTATTCTCTCGAAAGGTTTCGCCCGCACTTCCATGCTATACCTGGCCGTCTGCCTGTGTGGCTTAGCAGCATATGAGCCTGTTTACCACCTGTTTATCATATGTTGTGTTCTTTTTAAGGCTGCTTTTATACCTGTATTATGGGCAATGAAGCCTCAGCCCAGTCCGTCATGCGGATCATACAATTATGGCACTTTTTATACGTCAATCACTTGGTGGCAATGTGCCTTGCATGGGTCTGGTCTATTATAGTTTGGAATTTTCAATTAGTCGTTGCCAACGATGAAATAAAGAATGTAAAGTAAGAAAAGTTGAGGGCAATAAGTATAACATCATTAATGCCATTAATAAGCAGATGTGTTTTACAATAGCGTAAAAATGCATCGAACCGATCGTACGATCAAATTGTGCGTCGTGACAGCCGAAGACAAATAACTGCACGAGTTGTCCATAGGCAAAAAGTTAAATAGGAAATCCGTTATCGTCAACCACTGAAATCCGGTATATGTTTCTGAACTGTTAGCTCCAGAAAAGAAGGGAAAATGATTAGCATTACACAACAAATGTAGCGATGGGAATCGCAAAACAAATATTGCGAATTTGTCGATTTGAGGGGAGGATTACGGAGATTGCTCCTGGCCCAATACCAGTAAATAATTTTGCTATTGGTGTTAGGTCAGAAGACAGTTGTTATGAATTATGTTTGAAAGGAGTAAAACCGCATGGGAGGTTTCGTTAAAGAATAGCATGGAAGCAGTTGTAACAGGTCAACCTAGATGATCAGGTTTTGCGCTGGTGCGTTTGTTGAACGCTTCCAGTCCATATTCTCCGGTATCATACATGAGCCGGCCCTTCTTCATACAGATTTTCATCGCCAAGTTGAATTCTTAAGGTCCATTTCACTGTCAGTTGTCAGATAAATCTTTATCCTTTTCTTGAACATGCAAAAATCTCCAATACATCTAATCTCTTTTGCAAACTTATTCCATATGGAGCCATACCTAAGAACGTAGAAATTTCTCCTTGGACTGGTCCTGAATTTTGGTAAAGAGACTATACATTCACTAGCTCGCAGTTCATAACTGGTATCTTCCCGAAAGTGCGATCGAAAGCTTCCAACATATGCTTTCTGCCACGGAGGAGGCACAGATTTAATTGTATTCTTCATAACCGCACTTTCAAGATTCAGCTCCTTGCACCCATCTCTGTATGAAAGAGCGGTTGAATAACCAACTATACGCTTCGTGAAGGCGCGTTGAACGTTTTCAATGGCTCTCAAATCACACTTTCGCAGGTTACTGAACGTAACACAGCAATATTCAAGCGATGGCCTTATACTGATTTTGAAAGCAATTAGTCTGGTTCTTTCAAGGTTAGCAAGTGGCATATGAGCCCAACCGACTGCTTAGCCTTTTTCACGATATGATTTGTATGTTTGCTAAAGTTTAACGAACTAGAGTATCTCAAACCCAAGTCACGAACAGACTGACTGATGAGAATGACTTCGTCCTGAAGCCTGAACAATTCTGCTGCTATCTGACATCCATGCGCCAGAATACTACACGTCGATGTTGTAAACGTCATCTGCCACCTGTCAGTCCATCTCACAATGTCTTTCAAGTCGCTTTGGATATTGTTAACTTTAGTGGTATGCTAAAAACTTGAGAACGTGTAAACAACCTTTAGAGCATCAGCAAACAAATAGGGCTTGCCAAGTTGTAGAACAGAAGCAAGGTCATTTATATACAGTAGGAAGAGTAACGGACCTAAAACACTGCCCTGTACCACTCCACTGGTGACCAGACGAGGTGAAGTGATGTTACCATTTATATCCACAACTTGCGACCGTCCTACTAGGTGCAATCGGAGCCAAGAGTGAAGCGGATTTATCACACCGTGCCTCCTTAATTTATGTAGCAGCCTCTTGTGTGGGACTTTGTCAAACGCTTTTTGCATATCAAGGAAGATGACAATGTACTGAAGACCTGAGTCAATTGCTTGTTAGGTGGTTAAGGAAGGTAGCTTGACAGGTAACACACGAAAGGGACTTCAGAAAGCCATACTCTCAAGGTGAAAGAATTTTGTGCGCTAATAGTAAAGAAACCAAATGTTGCTTAACAATTCTCTCTAGCATATGTGAGTGAATGGCAGTGTGTCTAATAGGGCGATAGTTCTGGTTGTCAGTTTTCGCCCCGTACTTATGTCTCGGTATGACCGTAGACTTCTTCCAACGTTCGGGATATTGACCATGTCAACAAGTAAAAAACAACCCTATCCAAAGAACATTTCATTGCATTTTTCGGAGCACAACCAGAAGGTCGAGAGGTTCAAAATGAGTGCTTCCAATCCTCTTAACCAGGTCATCGGCTGGTCTCCTCTTCTTTATCCATCCATATCCCAGGCTTGAAAACAATCCACGTTACGGAAGCCGATGTGTTAGCATGCGTGACACGCCAGCCACTCGTGGGACCCTGGTGTGTGAAATAGTGGTTCACTTACTTTTTCTTCTCTGAAAACATGCCACTTGGCGCGCTCATTGTTCACTCGGCTTTCCCACCAAATGTGAGCTAAACATTGTAGGCACCAGCACTCGAATGTAACAAGCCTCCACATGTGTGTCGCTCTAATGGGCCATGTTTCTCAGCGGTATATTAAGGCTGTACGGACGGCTGCATTGTAAACTCTGCTCTTCAGATCAGGGACATTGTCACGCAGACCCCTTGAGTTCCGAGAATTAGAAAAGACCGCCCTGAGACTGTTCAAAACGGTTTGTCATTTAGTCTTCTGTTCCACAGGCACTGATGTAGCTACTTAGATAGTATAATTTCTGAACGATTTCTGGTTAGTCACCACTTAGTATCAGCTCAACGGCGTCCTCTCCAGTGCTGGAGTGATACTTTGCATTATGAGGTTGCAAAGTCTAGCTTGAAACGGCAGACAGCCAATGTTAATCTGTCTTGTGCTGCTTGACACGTTTGTGAGTTGCTACA